CTCAGGAAGTCCATCTGAACACAGCAGAAGCTCCCTCTCTTTAGCGCCACATACTGGCCCAGCACTGCCCTGCAGAGTTTTCATTTTGGAAATTATCTCCCGTTTTCCCTCAGAACAGAGCAGAATGCCGCCATTAGGGCCGTATGATGAACTGTTCTCTCTTTGCAAACATGAATAAATGTGCCGACTGAGTGAAATCCATCAACCTCCGTTTATTTAACTAGGATGAATAGTTGAAGACTTTTTTCTCACGACATTGGGCAGACCTTCAGAGGAGAGCAGACTGGAAGACCACTAAGAAGCACTGAACACCTCCCACCATGGAGCTCCACCTTTAGTTCAGGGTCCAATCAACGTGTCGGGACCTTCTTGTTCCTCTGTCCTATTGGACCGACTTCATTCATTGGAACCACAGGGTGGAGTAAAATCAGGCCCTATAACTTCCTGCAGCTTCAGCGTTGGTGAGGCTGGACTTTATGGAACCAAAGTGCTGGAAAACAGCTGCTGCAGATGTTTATTCTGAGCCATTAAATCACCTTGAAGCAGTAATACTGGTTTCACTCTGAAGGCTGTTTCTCTGTGATCAGTAACAGAAGGCAGACAGTAGGGGGAGCTCTTCTACTGGGATGTCTTGTACAGGCCTGATGGGAAACCAAGCAGTTTCTGGGTCCATCTGGGTGGTGGACGTTGTCCTGGATGGACAGCAGTTTGTCCCTTCTCCAGTCACTAAGCTAGCTCTCCTCACCAGTCTGGCCGGGCGACTATTGTCCCTGTTCTTGCTGGTTTCTCCATAATGCTGGTCTCCACAGACTGGTAATCCATCTGCAGCAGTTTTAAGCAGATGTTTGAGGAGGTCGGCCTTCTCAGGAAGTTCAGGCCTGGATCTTTCCTGTGAAGGAAGACCTCTGCTGTCCATCCAGCTGAACATCTCCACAGGTTGGAGGTGTGGTCTCTGACAGCTAAAGTTCTCCATCATCTCCTTGGTCTGGGAGGTGTTAAGCTCCAGGTGGTTTGTCCATCCAGCCGTCCATCTATCGGTGCATCGTTGGAGCATTTCTGATTGTGGCAGAGCTGGAGTCAGATCAGAGACCAAAGCTCTGAGTCCCCTGTCCTGACGACCAGAGCTTGGAGACGGGTTTGTGGGTCCATGCTGGGTCCTGACTTTGGTTCTGGAGCCTGTTTGGGTCTGAATGACTCAGATCGACATAATATTTGGTTTCATGAGAGCGGCGAGAAGAAAGTGGCCCCTGAAGAGAACTGCTGATGAGCAGCAGATGGTCTGAACCTGTCTGGTGCTTTCTGCCTTCACCCGACAGTAAAACCAACGTCTGAGGCAATAAGATCCAAAAACTACAAACAATAAGAGACAAAAAGCTACTTTCTAGCTTTTCAGGTCAAAGTCAAGTTCTCTTTTACCAACATCAGAGCCTGGTCCACCGGGACCAGAACCAGAACCAGAACCAGTCCCTGTTCCTATCTGCTGATGGTTTGGCAATGAAGCCGGTCCATGGGACCTAGCTGAGAGTGGGAGGAGCTTAAGGAGCTCCAGTTAGGTGCTTCATCTTACTCCAGTGACTCTTCATTGTTGATTTTGCCTCAACATGGAAGCTGGTTCTGCATCAGATGAACTGTGGAGAAGCTGCCCTGCCCAGAGGGTCTCCAGTGCATATGTGAGTTCTCTCTGGGTACTCCAGCCTTTAGATTGGTGACTTTAAACTGAGATGAAGTAGGAGCTGGTGCCTGGCTGTCTCTGCGGTGAACCAAAGGACCATCTGCATAATGTTCAGACTGCACGCCATAGAGGCAGCAGAAGCAGCTAGTTTACATGCAAACTCAATGGTTGATTCACAAAGTTCCTGCAGCATCTAGAGAAGCAGGAGCTTCATGAGCTTCTGATCCTCTGAGGAGCTTCAGAAGCTGCAGCTGCTGGAAACATTGACCTTTAGCTGCTGGACATCAACCAATGAGAGGAGCTGATCTGGGAGCTGGCAGGGAGTCAGACGCAGCACTGCTGATGCAGAGCGCTATGATCACTCCTCTGAAACAGTTTATTAACGCCTAAATTAACTTCAAATGTAGAAACCTGCCGGCAGAATATGTTGGCTTTTATAATCCTGGTTCTTGCAGATTGGATTGCTTACGTGAAAAATGC